CCTAGCAAGGAGACAATGGCAAACCATTTTTAAAAACCTTGACAAGAAAACTACGGGACTCAACATGAGTCAATGCTGACCAGCAGGCACAAATATATATGTATCTATTGAAAGTATATAGATATACAACACACACACACACACACACACATCTTTGTGTGCACTTTTTCTTGTTGTTAATGATTTCCCCCAAGATGAAATAATTCTTGCTTGGTAGTAATAATAAATTTAATCGCCATGAACCAGCAATGCAATTCAACCACCAAATTAAAGAAAAGGGGGGGATTCTGAAATTTTGCAACCAGTTGTTAATGCCATGTGTTCAGAATGACACTGAAGACAGAAGACAGCATCTAGATGGAACAAGTCCCAGGAGGAACAGTTGAAGTAAGTGACAAGTTTCAGTGCAAGAGAAGATGTGTATAAAATGCCTGTTTCCTTTTTCAGCTTCTGTTTTCTCCTACCTTAATCCTTTCAAACCTACTGCATCCACCTCCTCATCACAAGGGCAGAAAATGTCAAATTGCTCTTCTCTTTCCCCCATAGTACCGCTCGGCCGTAATACTCCAGTCCTCTGAAGAGCTTTCACATGATGCTGTAATTCACATTCTAGTATGTATGCGCGTGCACATGCAGCTCTGTCTAAAACTGTAAAATAAATAATCTAGATTTTAGGACTTCGGAGCGCCCTTGGAGCTAGGACCATCAAAGCAGTTTCCCGAGGACAGAAATCGCAGCTCACTGCGCAGGAGGTGCTTTGCACGGAAATACTGTTGCAGAGACAGGTATGGAAAAAAATAGGAGGGACTGATAGGCGTGGCAGGAAAAAGACGCCAGCCTCCAATCCAATAATACCCTAGAGCCCTCGAGGGGGAAGCTTCTGTCTTCCACGCTATTGGTGAAGCAAGCTGCCTTTTACGTGGTGTGGCACCCAATGTGGAGCGCGGTGGGATGAAAGGCCAGAGGCGGCATCTCCCCGCAACCCCATCCCTCCGTGTGCGTGAGCGTCTAGGTAACTGCTGGGTAACCGGCAGTTCACGTGTTGTTTTGCTCTTCGCGGGGACGAGCAAAGTGCGAGAAGTAACTCGCTGCGTCCGTGGTGCTGAAACTGACGGAGCTTGCGCAGTAGCCTCGGGCGGACAGAGGCGAAGGAGCGCGAGCTGAGGGTAAGAGCAGACCCAGAAGATACCAGGGACAGGTGCCGTGCGCCGCGGAAACTCGGGGCTCGCCCTCCTTGAAACACCGTCCCATCCTGGGGGATGGCGACCTCCCCCGCACCAGAATCGCCCAGCAGTTCCTCGGCTGGCCCCAATCTCAACAACAACAACAACAACCACAACCAGCAACAACAACAGGAGCAGCAGCCGCCACCGCCGGGCGTGCGCAAGTGCGGCTACCTTCGCAAGCAGAAGCATGGCCACAAGCGCTTCTTCGTGCTTCGCGCCCCCGGTGGCGGGGCGGCAGCGGGGGAGGAGGCGGCGCCGCAGCAGCCCGCCCGACTGGAGTACTACGAGAGTGAGAAGAAGTGGCGGAGTAAGTCCACGGCTCCCAAGCGGACCATTGCCCTCGACGCCTGCCTCAATATCCACAAGCGAGCCGACGCCAAGCACAAGCACCTCATCGCCCTCTACACGCGCGACGAGTACTTCGCCTTGGCGGCTGAAAGCGAGCCAGAGCAGGAGGCCTGGTACCAAGCGATCACGGAGCTGCTCCACGAGAGCCAGGCCGCGGCACAGGGCTCTCCTCGGCATCCGTCCCACTTGGCCTCTTGCGAGGACTTCAGCTACGGGCAACCAAGCTGCAGGCCCCCTGCGTCCGCCGCCTACCGCGAGGTGTGGCAGGTGACGCTGAAGCCGAAGGGACTCGGGCAGAGCCGCAACCTCACGGGCGTGCACCGCCTGTGCCTGGCGGCGCGCACAGTCGGACTGGTGCGGCTCAACTGCGATCGGCCTTGCGTGACGCTGCAGCTTATGAACATCCGCCGATGCGGGCACTCGGACAGCTTTTTCTTCATGGAGCTCGGGCGCTCGGCCTCGACAGGGCCCGGCGAGCTCTGGATGCAAGCCGACGACTCGGTGGTGGCGCAGAACATCCACGAGACCATCCTGGAGGCCATGAAGGCGCTGCGGGAGCTCGTGGAGTTCCGTCCGCGGAGCAAGAGCCAGTCCTCGTCCTCCTCGTCCGGAGGCGCCACCACAGTCGCCGTGAATGTGGGCGGCGGGGGATTATCGTCTATGTGCAGCCGGCCCATCTCAGTTCCCGGCCGCCGCCATCACGCCCATCACCCGCTGGCGCCTCTGCCCCCGAGCCAGACTGGCCTCCTCCGCCGATCGCGCACTGACATCTTGACTGTAGCAGGGAGCAGCAGCAGCAGCAGTAGCAGTAGCAGCAGCCACGGCAGCCGGGTGCGGACGGCCAGCGAGAGTGATGGAATTAGGGCTGACTCGCTGTCGGGCAGCCCCCTGAGCCCCGAAACGGGGCAAATCCCACATAGCCTTGGAATAAGAGGGGGCCCTAGCCCACTAGGAGGGCAAGCACCGATCCACTCTGGTGGTTCCCTAGCTTTAGGGCATTCTTCCCCCCTGGGACCAAAGCTGACCACTGAGCCAAACTTGGCCTCACAACGCTTATCTAGTTGCAGTGCTTCTGCCTCTGGTTCCCCCAGTGACCTAGCTGGCTTCATGACTTTTGAGGAATTAGGTTCCAGTCCAGCTGGAGACCTACTGCCGTTCTCATCTTCTTCAGCAACAAGCCATCATAGCAACACACCTGAGACGCCTCCTGGGTGGCAGTTGGATGGTTACATTGCTATGGAGCGGGAACCCCTTCGCCACCAGCAATATCTTTGTGGAGAGGACAAGGTTCCCAGGAAGCGCACTTACTCTTTGACAACACCAGCACACCAAGGCTCCTTGCCTCCTCCAGTTTCCTCTGCCTCCCTTGATGAGTATACACTCATGCAAGCCACCTTTTCAAGAGCGGGATATTCACCAAAGACAACCTATACTCCTTATCCCAAGGATTATTGTCAGGTAGACATTGGGTGTAATGGCATCAGCAGTGATAGGTCACACTTAGGTTGCACTGTGCCTAAGGAGGATGGCTATATGCCCATGAGTCCCAGCATATCATCTGTTGTGTCATTGGAGACTGATTCTGATGGCTATATGTCTATGCACCCCACCAGTGTATCAGCCCCACAGCAGATTGCACAGTCTTACTCCTACAAAATCAACAGGGAAAGTTCTCCAGATGATTGTGGTTACATGCATATGTGGGGTACCAGAACTAGACTACCTGGACAGAGTCCAGAAGAAAGATTGGCCAGCGATGACTACATCAGTATGTCCCCTTTGCTTTTGCCCCCTTTGCATGGACCTTCTGCTTCAGACTCACCTATGCTCTGCACTGACCATTTCAGTGCCCTGAGGCTTGGAAAACAGGCTGGTTACTTGGGTAGCCTATTGCATGCATGCCAACAGCAGTCAGATTCCCATGGTGAGAGAAAGGACAGTGACCAGTACGTGCTTATGAACTCTCCAACAGGCAGACAGAATTACACTCCCAAAGGGAAATTCTTTCTTGCACCATGCAACAATACTGCGGTGCATTTATCCATGCAACACAATCAAACTGAGACCTCTTTCAGCCAAAAGACAGGTAATACCCAGCCCAGTCATCCTTCTCTGGGGCTTTTTCTACCCATCATGAATGAACAGACTCTTCTAAAGGAACCTCAGAATTCCAGTGGAGATTACGTTGATATTGGCTACTCACTGACGCCAACCAGTAATGGTTTATCTTCTCTGCTTAACCCTGGCTTAGGTGGGCATAATGGCTCAAGGATTTCCAGTTATATGAACCTCAACTTTGATGGTCCACAGACAAATGCCATCTCTCTAGGGCGCTTGGAAGATATACTTATGCCAGGATCTTGTCCTAACCCTGGGAAGCTAGACAAGCATTATTTAAAGGTTGGAATGCAGATGGCTTGTCTTTCCAGCCCGACTTCTGAAGCTGGTGACTACGCAGAGATGATTTTTAACACTGCCACAGCACCACCACAACCCATCTCACACAAGCCAGAAAGTGTTTGTGTGACTGGCCCTGGACTGAAGCAACTTACCCTTCCTGAGGTGGAGGCTTTTGTCTTTGCTGGTCCTCCTTTTGATCCCAATCGTGGAGCCAAAGTCATTCGTGCTGATCCTCAGGGGCGTCGAAGGCACAGCTCAGAAACTTTCTTATCTACTACCATGGTGACTCCTGTTTCTCCTTCCTTTGCACACAACCCTAAGCGGCAGAATTCAGCCTCTGTAGAAAATGTGTCCCTCAGGAAAAATGAAGGTTTGGGGGTAGAGGAACAGAACAGCAGCCCCATGTGCCGGGAAACATCAGCTGGCTTCCAGAATGGTCTCAACTACATCGCTGTTGATGCATTGGATGGAAGTGATCTTGCAGTTGGAGACCAAGTCGAGCATAAAGACAGGTATCCTCTCCATGGAAATATCAACAGTACTTATGCCAATATAAGTGTTCTGGCCCAGCATCTGAAAAAAGCATCTTTAGTGAAAGGTGAGTTTGCAAACTTACTCCTGCTTCCCTATCAATAACTGAGTTTTTGAAAGAGTCATTAGAGCCAAAGAAAGTACAAAATCACAATGCTTTGCCTATTTACTTAAAATGTTTTGCTAAATTGCTGTGAAGATGCTAGCTTAAGGTTATATGAAAGTATTCCAGATTTAAATATGTGAGTCTCAGTTAGTGCTTTTCTTAGTCCAGTAACATGTTGATGCTCCAATTGACTAATTCCTACTGAAAAAGGATGTCGTTCAGAGTAGGTAGGCAAAGTCTCCTGACAGTGGGGCTGGATTCCTGGTGATTTCATAAACATGACCATGAAGTTTTCTTGGCAGCAGAACAGAACTCATTTGGCACTTCCTTCTCCCAGGATGTTTTTTCAACTTTTTCAATCTAATCCGCTGCATCTGCGGTATCTTCAGGAGAAAACTCTTACCCGAATACTAATCTAGGACTATCATATCATACCATACACTTTGCTGCTGAATTAGAAGTCTAGATTTTTGCAGTTTAGATACCCTAGTCTTTAATGGACCAGGTTTTATTCTGCTTTGATTTTTGAGATGAGCCTAGTTAGCTTGGCTGACTAGGTTCAGAGTAAAGATAAATAAAATTGTGCTATTGACATTTTTGCCCATGTATCTTTTTATTTTGCTATAGAGATCTTCATGCTTTTATTCTTTCTCTTGCATGTTTTCTCCCATTGTGGAATTCTTATTGCTCTACTCTGTTATGGAATGGTAGCACTATTTTTATTTATTTTACTAAAAAAGCATAAGAGAAAAAGGAGCATATCAGGTACTATGAATGGACAATATGTACACCATATATAATACAAGAGATGTGAAACAAACCCCAAAAATATATATCAAAAAAACATAATAAGGATTGCTCAAAAGTCCTCTTCTTTGGCTCTTAAAAAAAAAGACAAACCCAATAGATTCAGATGTTGAGAAAAATGGGCCTCAAGTATCCACTGTTATGCATTGAATGTACATTTATTAGCCAAGGGATATATGATAATTATTTTGGTTCCCTCCCAAATGTGAAGTTCATGTAATTCCTGATACTTTGATAAATTCAGTGTGATTAATTATTATGGAATAGTTACATTATTTTTATGTGCAGTGGTATGCATTTTTGTTGCAAGTTTCGAACAAAGCCATACAATAACAAGTCTATAAATTTGAATTGTTTGTTATGGAAACCTGGAATAGTGAATACAAAATACACTTTCAGTGTGATCTATTGATGTTACCTTTAAAATTATACCCATCCCAAATAATAATAAGCTAAACGTAAGGAAAATACTATCATTTAACAGAATAACTGTAACAATCAATAGAAGGAATTGCAAGTTTGGTGTGTATCACAGAAATTAACTTTTGTCTATCACAAAATGTTTAACAAATAAAAAACAAGTAACCATGATCGTGAAAGTATATAAAGTAACATCAAGTTTGGGTGTGTTTGCCTTTTCCCCAGCTGCATGTTTCTTTGCTCCTCCAAATGCCCTCCTAGATTCAACAGTGCTTGCTGCTCCTGTTCAAGTTTATTCAAGTTTATAAACTTGCTACTGTTCAAGTTTATTCTTTGAACTTGCTGAACCAAATAAGGTCAAGTATATTTTACAAGATAAGCAAGACACTGAGGCAATGCATTCACCTAGTATTCATCAGTCCTAATCTGTACAATGCTGTGCTGTTTTTAGTCACTTCTAAGTGACTAACAGCTGTGTATTTGTCATTTAAAAGAGTCAAAGATCTATGGAGGAATGAAAAATAAAACAAATATCTTAATATCTAAAAATCTTTGTCAACTAAGAGCATAGCAAATAGGTGTGCACAGATAGTTCTCAACCTATGACCATTTATTTAATGATACTTTTAAAAAAACCAATAAAAAGAAAAATTGCTTCTTGTTTCATAACTGGCAAGAAAATGTGTACCCTTTTAAAGAATCTATGGTTAAATCTGTGAATATAAGTAAAATGTTGCATTGAAAATGGAAGAACTATATAGTGGTCACTTATGCCTTGTTTGTCTATGGATTTTGACAATATATACAGCACATAGGTAACTGGATTAGTAACATTGAAAAGTGCCAGAAGTTTTAAAAAATGCTATGATAAAATAGATTCCTAAATGACCAAAGCCTTTAAATACTCATAAATGACTTTATGTCATGTTGGAGACATCAAACAGAATGCTACAGAACAGTTTCATCTCCAAACCAGAGCCAAAACCATAGCTGAATCAGAATTTGAGTTTTTTTCATCTTCTCTTGGCCAAAGCCATGGCAGTAACTGGGCTAGTTATATGGGGGAAGGGGGGGAGATCTCCCTCTCCTGCTGGCCCTTTGGCAGGTGGGCACACTTCCGCCCCCCTTCTACTGCCTACATGTCAGCAGATCCAATAATGGTTGAACCAGCAGAAACTTCCCATAACTTTGCAAATAATCATCTGAGCCATCAACATGCAAAAGTGGCCAGCATAATTATCAGCAAAACCAGGGATTAATAGATATGACCACCCCCACCACACACACAATCAGCCATCACACCATATGGGGCATCTGCTGGATTCTCCTCACAATGTGCAGGCAGGTGTCAGCTTTTCCAGATAGATCAGATTGGGAAGCAATCTCCACTGGAAACCAGAATTATATTTTATAAGAAAGGCTGCAATGTTAGAATCTTGCAAGTCTGCCCATGACAGATTTTTGCCAGTCTGCCCATGTCTTCCCTTCTCTCCCTCTTCCAGCCAGAGGAGTGAGAGGGCTAATCTGAGTTTCTTTGTAATTCTCTTCTGCCTTTTTGGACTGCACATATCCTCTGCACCTGGTGTTTCTCTAACAGTATCTCAATTCTTTATCCAAAGTCATTTCCTTGACTTCCTACAACAGGTCATATGGTGATGGCACTTGCTGAACCAGGACTCTTTGCTCAGCCTCTTTCTACTCATATGGTATGGGAAAATCATTTGGAGAATCTTAGAGGAGAGAATAGATACTGCTTTTCCCTAGAACCCCATACACAAGACAGGATATCTAGGAAGAAAGAGAGCCTCTCCTGTTTTCCTGGAATTCCTCCTCCAGATGAGCCTCCTTCCCAAGTCCCAGCCTCAGCCTAAATTAGGAGGAGGATATTAGGAGGAGGATATTTTGCCATTAGCAAAAAAATCCACCAATCACTGCACCTTAGCTTGCCCTACAATTACTAAAACAGCACCATTCTCCATTTTTGTTAACGCTGCATCACAATCTGGTTATTTTGACAAAGTAGATTTGTGCTGGCGTATTTTATACTATCTTAAGGAATGGAGGTTAGTAAATTAAACTGGTTAGCAGGATGTCTAGTCAACCACTAGAGTCTTCACAGCATGTAGTTTTAATACAGAAAAAAACATATAAAATATTGTGAAAATAACCTCATTCAGTCTAGCCTTTTGCTCATGGTTGTGTTATCAACCTGTTTGCTGCTTGCTCTTCCTGAATGCTCTTGATATCCATGGGATAAGTGGTGCTCTGAGTCAGCCTGTTGATAGGTTGATCATTAGAGCTGACTGATGCTTTGGTGACAGCTGAGAAATTATATGGCTGTTTTAAAGAGTTGCTGAAAGATGCAACTTTCTTCCTACACATTCCAAGTATATTTTCTAAATTATTCCTAATGTATTGTAGAGCACCAATATGCATCATTGAGTGTCTTAATACTCATAATTTTGTTACAAACTGTAGAAATGGAATGAGTGAGATCTAGTCCCTGAATATCATAATAGTGTATATATGAGCTTGAGTCTCCAGTTTTGCTTGGGTTATTGTTTTATTACCTCTCTTGGACATTTATTAAATTGGCCTTTGAACCTATAATAAAAGACTATACTAAGTAAAACAAGAAGAAAGCTGTGAAGGAGAGGAAAAGGGCACCATAAATCTATACTTTCTTTTTTCCAAATAGCATGTAGTAAAGAAACCAGATAATTCAGAGAAGAGTCTTTTGTGTTCCCTGAAATTATTGCTCATTTATGTTTATTCTAGCTTTAGTAGAAGATGTGGATAGTTTTTCTTCTGATCTCCTCTTCCTGGTTCTAGGAGGAAAATTGTGGCAGTGATACTATTGAAGGGAAACGTAGTATAATGTTAAGATAATGTTAGATGTGCAGCATATTCTGTAGCAGCTAATATTTCTGGAGCAGCTCTGAATTCCTAAGGTTACTTAGAACTTAGAAGTCAGCAATTAGGAGGATAGACATGCCTACATTAATCAGTAATTGGGGAAAAACTGTAAATTAGTACATAAGGATACTCTGTTCATGTGGTTACTTTTGATTGGAACTTACTGATTTGTTTTTTTCCCCTTTCTAGAATGAAGAAACCAGTTTCACCCTTATACTTGGTAAAACTGTCATCATTTTAGATTTAAGCTGCTATAAGATCCATTTTTCTCCCTACTTCATGTAGCTTTCAGAACATTTCTTCATTATTACTGGAGAAGAAGCAACCTGTCTCATTTATCAGGATCTTTTGCAACACTATGCCGCTGTTTGCATAAATTGTGCTCAGCGTGATATCTTTTAGGAAATTGGACCTCGGCTGGTGGATTGTGATCATTGCCTTTTCAGTACCAATGAACTGTACTTAACTTCAGCATGTTGAGAGGTTCTGCTTGCACATGCTACAAACGTAAAATTTGGTGTTTACTAGCATATTTTCAAACCTCTACAGCACTACCTCAGTTAAAAGTCAAACTGGATTTGTATTGTGGTTTAGGATGGCTGACATTTCCTTTCTCTCAGTGGCATAGTACAGTTGTCAGCCTTACCGAATCTATCAAGGACCCTGCTACTGTCTGGCTGCTTTGTTTACTTACATGCAAACCCCAAATAGGACCTGAAAAACTTAAAGCCAAGATGAAACTTGAGAGATTAGATTTTTATCACTATATTTCTGGTAAATATGAGATCTGCTACGGAAGTAGCAAAACATGGTACCATTAAACTGTATTGGGATGTCACTCTATACCTCTGACACATTTGTTTGATAGTTTCTTTTAAAAGTTCTGCAGACCAGAGATCTTTTATCCTATTTGTATGCTTATGTTTATCAGCTATTCTTGGTATTAGCTTATTTTCTTGCAACTAAAATTTAGAAATGAAGATTAATACATGTCAAAAAGATGGCAAACTTTTGTACAAAATTCTACATATTATTCAGTAAACCTGAATATTTTTCTTCAACAAGAAATAACAATTTTCATTTTAAAAACACATATTTGGGGAGAGGGCAAAATTTTCAGTCAGTCTCCTAATGATAATTCATAAGAACATACATATTCAGTATTTTGAAAATAACAGTGTCATGGCTGCTATTTTTACATATCTTCAGAGCTTTGAGGGTCCTCCGCGTGTTGCTTCTGATCCATTTTTGATTGAAGAGACTTTTTAAAAATGTATTGTTATCATTACTAAGAGCAACCATAAGTTTTTCTTTGAACATTGTCTGTGTTTAAGCAATGAACACAATGTCACCAGAAGCAGTACTTTCTATCTTTACTGAACTGTTGCTCAGGATAATTCAAAATTCTCCTGCTTTCATGCTGAGCATTGGGACAGAGGGCTCTGTAAAATGATGCATCTGAATGAAATATTATCATGTAAAAATAATAAGTAGCCCACATTACTGCAGAAATTTTTGTCTGCAATTTCTAATATTCCTGATTAATGCCTGTGCTGGCTTAGGTTTTGGAGATTGTGATCCAAAAATCTTGAAAGCATTACATTGTGGGGGAATGTCATAAATTAAATTAATGAAGATAGCTGGGTATAATGTCCTCAAGTACCGTATTTTCACCCATATAACCCGCGGGTTATATGCGGTTTTTACATGCACAGCGCCCCCCTGCGGGTTATATGCGTGGGCGGGGTATACGGAAAATATTTTACACGATCGGAGGCTTACACGATCGGAGGCTTGCTTCTTTCTCCGTTTCTTCCCCCACCCCGATCTCAGCTGTTTCCTTCTCCTCCGTTCCTTTCCTCTTCCCCAGCGTGCGCAGGCTTCTTTCTCCGTTTCTTCCCCCACCCCGATCTCAGCTGTTTCCTTCTCCTCCGTTCCTTTCCTCTTCCCCAGCGTGCGCAGGCTTCTTTCTCCGTTTCTTCCCCCCCCATCTCAGCTGTTTCCCTTCTCTTTTACTCGTCGCGGGTTATATGCGTGGGCGGGTTATATGCGTGGGCGGGGTATACGGGAAATATTTTACACGATCCGGAAAACCCGCGGGTTATATGCGTGTGCGGGTTATTTGCGTGGGCGGGTTATATGGGTGAAAATACGGTAATGGAGCACTGCATCTGAATGACTTTGGGGGAAAAGTCAGTTCCTAATACCATAATAGTCAATTTAGTTAGTTTCTAAAATAAACGAGCTTGAATATATACTGACATTGTCAATACTTTACATTTCACAAAGGCATATGCAAATAGTTACATTCTTAATCTAGTTTACAATATGAAACCAAAATGTATAAATGTTAAATTTGCTAACACTTTGCTATGTATATTGGGTCTTTGTACATTCTGCCTGATTTTACCTTAAATTTTAAATATTTTTTGCTATGTAACATTAACAGTTAAAAGCATTGTTTTCTTTTTAGAAATATAATTGTTTCTGGACATTGATATAGTAAATATATTTCTTGGCATTGAGCTAAGGCAAAACACTTAATTTATCTTGCTGTGTCTTCCAATGCACACTATGTACATAGAAATAATCAGTGATGCTGCTGGGGAAGAGAAAACATGGAACTAAAATTTAGTCTTTAGTCTTTACTGATCTTGGCTGCTATCCTTAATAGCCATATGCAATAAAATATTATTTATTGAAGCATTAAAGTCCTTAAATAACTCTTCTTTTAAAAAAATCAAAATTGTTCTGTATAATATAGCTTTCTGCTATCTTTTGGAGCCTCTTGGCTCAGTCTGCTTCTCTAGTCCAAAGCTCCATTAGTAAAAATGATCAATCCTGTCTTTCGCTTGAAAATGTGCACTGTAGTCCTGGGAAAATACTTTCAGATTTGGAAACAGTTTTTTTTTATTAGAACAGTACTTTTAAACAGATATTTTGTCCCATCAATCCGTGTAATGATGACATTAATTCAGGAAAATTATTGTCAACAACCTTTTTGGCAAATGAACATCTCTGCCAGTGTTACCACTTGGGGTAAGTAATATCTCCAGAATTTTTTTTTTCATCTTAATGAGTTTTTATTATTTTTGTTGTATTTTGAGAAGTTGTGTTTAGTAGCTATCGGTTTGCTTGTTTGTTGCTTGTTTATTTATTATTAGGATTCTTTGCCACACATTTTGCCAAGGCGACCTTAGGCAGCTTACAGTCAAACAATTATCATACCATTTAAACATTAAAATGCTAAAAAAAAATTACCATGCATTTAAAAATTTGGATAAAATTCAATTAACCATAATGGAAAGGAAGGGAACAAAGTGCCTGTGGAGAGGAGGTGGTGGTCTGACTAATCCATTAACCATCTCCAAGACAATTCCACGAGCAATTCCATCCAGATATCAGGGTTTGACACTAGAAATCCTTGATCTAATAAAATATTCATTGGTAAAATCTTGTTTTATTAAACTTTAATTAAGTCTGAAACATTTACTTTTTACAGTGTGCAAAGGGGCTCATCATTTCTGCCACCATTCTACCAACCATAGAAAATTCTGATCACTTTAGAAAAAGAAATGCTGCAAAACAATTATCTCTAAGAGCAAGACCTGTATAATAATGTATTTTCAAGCATAAATTGCGAATATTTCTGTGAAAAGAGTTTATCGTCTCTGACATTCACTCAGCCATCCATTTTTTTCCTTGATATGTTTTTGTCTTCTCATTGGCTATAACATCATCACAATTTGTCATCAGCAGCATTGGCAAGGGCTCTGGACAGATGGCAGGTGGCTGTCTTTCTCTCACCATAAACACATAAAATTAAACTCCCTGCCTACCTCAAAGTCAGCTCAACCTATGTAACTTGCTTATCAGCACAAGAAAAATAATAGTGAATTTTCCTTCCCTCTTAATTGTCCAAACTGCAGATTATATTTCTTTGTATGCATGCACATGTCCCGAGCTACACAGGACCAAGTGCCTTTATAAGTGTGTGGGAATTAATAAAGAAATTAAGATTGTATTGCCCAGCTGTAAAGCACTGAGCTGTTTCTCAGATGTCTTTGGTGTGACACTTCTAGAGTAAACACAACATAAGAGTCATATTTGCAAAGCCAGGCAGGCAAAGGGAAGGTAAGAGCTTAATAGCTTCAGCAAAGCATTCACCTTGGAAAAAATCCAGGCCACCAATCCCTGTTTGTCACTCATACTATTTTTATTCTGGTTTTTTCCCCTCAAGACCTGATAAATATTGATACATTGTGAATTTTTTTCTAGATATGGATCATTAGCTATAAATTGGTATAAATGCAAACCGTACAGAAAAAGATGAAGACAGAAACAGGAAAACAAATGCCAGTGCTGCTGGCCCAAGTTTGAGATATTAAAACTGTAAACATTTCCACATGAAGAATGTAATGAATGTCTGGGTAGAATTTCTAAAGGAATATCCTGAAATTGTCAGTTAAGCATAGAAATATCTGATGCCATTTGCAATCATGTGCCATTGTAAGAACCTTCTTGTTAGGTGCAGCAACAAAACCAGTACAGAGATATGTCAAATATACAAAATGACCTCTGCTTACAAATAATATCAGTAGTTCTAAATACTGAACTTTTATGCAAGGAAAAACAATCTCATCATAGTCATTGATTTGTTTGGCTAACGCATGAACCTCTCAAAAACTGAAATTCAAGTACTACTTTGTGTACACTGGAAATTTTAGTTTTGCATTTACAATAAACAATTATTTTTCATTTATTGCCAGTTTTCTATCATGAGCGTGTTGCTCCTTCAGCAGGAATTTTTTTCTAGTTAACAGATTCCATGGCCTGAAAAAAAATTGAAGGCTGTTGTACTTGCCAATAGAATTAAGTTTAATTAAGATTTCTTCCATTAATTAAATTGTATGCCAGATAGTTCTGCACATGACTACATTGAGTTCAGCAGGACTTACTCCCAAGTTATACCTTAATTATCCCTTTTTGATAAAAAAATCTATTAATACATTTCCATCGTCTAAACAATATTTTGTTGTATCTTATCTAATTAATTAGTATTTTTACTAATTCAAGTGCCTAACGAGAGAGAGAGAGAGAGAGAGAGAGAGAGAGAGAGAGAGAGAGAGAGAGAGAATGTGATAGCCTAAGAGAATTTGGCACTACTATCTTTAAAATGATCAAACTCTTAATTCTTCATTCCCCATACTTCTACGTATCACTTAGATACCTGAGGTAATGAATAATTCCTAGAAGATATTTTTCATTTACATTTCAACCATGTTCTCCAGCCCTTTTGCATGAAGATTTTATTTTTTTGGGGAAGCCCACATCCAGATCCACAGTGTTTAGCTAGTAAGCAGCAGGTTTCTGCCATAGGTTGTGCCAGACATGTTGCTGTAGCACTTCAGTATTTATTTTATTATTTTATTATTTATTACTAGAATTTATTTTTTTTCAGGTGAGGAACTTCTTTTCAGCCACAGGATGGCCTCAGAGTTACTCTGAGGACAGATGCACAACTTGGGCATCTCCGGTATGTAGTTGGAGTGCAAAGGAAGCTGAAGGCCCATGGGAGTTCCTCAGTCACAACTCCCTGCCTTTCTGTTGAGAGGCCAAACAATTCCTCCTAAACTCTGAGCAAGCAGATGTTCAAGGAGGTATGTTGCAATGTTCATTTTTATTTTGGAGGAAGTGGTACTCCATCCTGTGTCCCTCACTTCTTTTAATGTGAGATTTTAATATCCATCTCCATTTTACACACAAACAAAAGAGACCTGTATAAAGACAATGTAATGACTGTTCACTGCATACAGTACAGCTTGGCCCTTAAATCATATGCAAAGGATACTCCCACAGTTAATGTGTCTATGGTAGTAAACATGGTTATGTTCCTAAACTTGAAAAACTGAACAATACCCATGTTGAGAGAAAGCAGCCAACCCATTCAGCAGTGGCCAATTGCCTACAAACACCAATCACACACACACACACACACACACACACACACACACACACTCTCATATTGGACCCACTACTCACTTTATGAAAAAGCCCCAACTTCCATGGTCTAGATTGTACCATTCAGACTCAAGTTTATCAAAATGCCAGAGCATTGGAACCATTACAAAGATGTTTAATTCCTTTTTTAACAACCATTTTTCCTGTTTACATTTTTTTCCCAAGCTGCTGGTTGCTCTACAGAGGAATCTTAACTGTGAAATATACCTTCACTAAGTAAGGTACGGCGGCGCCTTACATGGTCCGCTAGCTAGGCGCACCATGAACTCCCAAGTGGCAAAACAGGTGGGATGGACTGCGAGTGGCATCAGCGGTGCAGCAATCACAGACACACTTCCAGAAAGACATTGAAAAAGGTGCAGAGAAAAAGATGAACAGAAGTTACTTTTGGACGTTGTGGGAGCTTCATCCCTGGAAGCTTTTAAGAAAAGACTGGACTGCCATCTGTCAGAAATGGTGTAGGGCCAGGATGGCGAACCTATGGCATGCGTGCCACAGGTGGCACGTGGAGCCATTTGTCAGGGCACGCAAGGCGTTGCCCTGTCAGCT